CCACCCCCACCCCCACCCCCCCCCCCCCCCCCCCACCCCCACACACTCCCGCTCCCACCCACACCCCCACCCCACACCCACACCCCACACCCTGTAACATAAGTTCTGAGAATTTTTCTGTTTTTTTTAGGCAGATTTATGTCTTTCTATCTCATGACTGGAAAGAGATAGGGGTCTGAAACTTTTAGCGTAGATGGAGCTCATAGAGGTCTATCTATATTGAAAATTTTAGACCCATATTTATTTCTAGTCACGAGATAGAAAGCCTCATATTTGCCTAAAAAAACAAAAAAATTCTCAGAACTTATGTTACAACCCAATATTGGCTTATTGATCCGAATTACCCCAAATGCAATTTTACATAATTTAGGGTGGTCTCAGAGTTTATATTCAGTGTCTTATAATAGTTTGTTCAGTCACCGAAATATTTTCAGGTCCCATAGATAAGACTTTGGGCTATCGAATAATATTTTTTTTTTTTCATGTGAAAATGGATAAAAAAAAAAGTTATGAGTTGGGGAAAAATATTCCAGCTATTTTTCGTGGAGTGATCGGAATTACCCGGGCAAGTTTGTATGACTGATCTGAATTACCCCATTTGGGGTAATTCAGATCAGCTCGCCATGACCTTCGCAATTTTCGCTGATACTTTTTTCTAGTACATTATTTTTTGGAGATTCTTTCATCAATAGATAGAGAAGAGTTTGCTCTACTTGTGGTCCAAAATTCAAACTTCTATTGCATAAAACGAATGGGAACGAAAAAAAATAAGATGAAATTTTTGTGTACTCAAAAAGTGAGTGCACTCTAGGATCGGTCAGTGTGTCCGGTTGTCCGTTTACACGATAACTTTCGAAAGAAGAGTCAGATCATGATGAAATTTTCTACATAGTTCAGTCTCATCAATGTCTCGGTCGAGTTCGAAGATGAGCCTGATTGGAGGAGCTCTTCCTGAGTTACTACAAAAAAACTGATTTTTCCCTATGGTCTCGAATGCGAAAATCGACCTGTACCCGCTTTCATAAAAAAACTTTTCCTATGATAGTCAAAATAAAACCGCAACTATTATATACCATTCGATAGAGAATTTCACGGCGACAAAATGGTATATAAAGCATTAAAAATTTGAGCTCAAACTTTGGGGCGAAGAAAAGGGTTTTTTGAGAAAATAGCGATATTTTATAAAGGTTGGCGAAAGCAAATCGGGGTCGAGGAATCTGAATTTGAAGTCAGATTTCGAAAATTTTGAATTCAATTTTTTAGGTTAAGAGAAGGTTTTTTAAAACAATAATGATATTTTAGAAAGATTGGCGAAAGCAAATTGGGGTCGGAAAATCTGAATCTAAAGTGAGATTTTGAAAATTCTGAACAAAAGTTGTTGGGTTAAGGAATCGTTTCTTGACTTTTTGAAGTACACATAACACTCGGATTTAAATCCGAGGTTTCCGCATTTATTGATTTTTGATCCGAATTACCCCGAACGACTGTATTATTCTTTTATTTCTTTCAGATGAAATTACAAACAAACGATCAATAGGTGAAATAAATAAGGTTTATTTATCAGTTAGTCCCATTAATTCGATGGCATTTCAATTGTAAATCGTTGTACTCTATTGTTTCCTTCATCGACAACATAGAGATCACCATGCCGATCAAATGACAATCCCTTGGGTGAATAGAGTTGATTAGCTTGTGCTCCATAACCATTTCCACCAACAATAACATTTCCTTCTTTTGCTTTTTTAGGCCAACGAATAATTCGATGATAATATTCATCAGCCACATAAACAGTACCCAATTGATCAACTAGGATTCCCTTAGGATGACGCAATTGTGTCCGATAATTTTCTTGTCCTTGACCACTAGCGACAACACTACCTATTTTTGCACCTTGTATCCATTTCATCACACGGTGATTGTAAAAATCAGAGACGAACACTGAATGTTCTCGATTGACGAATATGTAGGAGGGCCAACTGAGCTGATTGAGACCATGTCCTTGTCCATTTCCACCTGCCACTACTGTTCCTTGAGATTCACCCATTCGATATCGTCTTACTTCATCTTTATCCCAATCAGTGACATACAGAGATCCATTTTCGTCCATTGTTAAACCTATACAAGAGATATTCGAAATAATTGTTTCTCCACTTGTTCCATTTTGACGAGGCCATCGAACTACTCTTTTATTCCCGCGATCGCAAATAATGAGACTATCTCTCTCTTTATCCACAATCACATCTGTTGGTCTATCCAATTGATGAGCATCGTTTCCTTGTCCATGTTCACCAACCACTACTTGTCCATTTGTTTCACCAGATTTCCATGCCACAATACGATGATTTCCATAATCAGCGACATAAACAGTTTGATCATCATCCACATATAAACCTTGGGGCTTAGAGAGTGGCGGATTTTGTCCTGCTACCGTTTGTCCATTGTTGTTCCATTTGGCATTTGGATGAATATCCGTCAAACTCCCACGCAGTGGTACTAAAATAAAGAGGAAAATGCTATCATCAATCGATTGAAATGAATCTCTCGTTTCATTTGAATTCTTAGAAAAGAATAAGGGAGACAGAGACACTTCCATGCTACTGTTTTTCCCCTTTGATGTTATGGAGAAGAACATAGAGAATTCCTATTTGCTGTAGAGAGAAGTACTGCTTATCACTATTTTAGCACATGTTTTACTGGCGTATACATTGGTCGTTTGGAAAATAACAAAAGAAAAGTTTTCACTTCAAAATTGGATCTCAATTTTATCTATTCCATAATAGGTGAGGATAAATTGTCAATGAAGTTTTTTCTGTTGTAAGTAATACAATGCTAAAATTTTCAGCAATGTCCAAGGTCTAAGAGAGGTCCATTTTGCATAAAGTTCTCTAAGAATATATGAAACCTAACATACTTTATCAAATACAACGTATGTAAATAGTAATAAGAAAAATAAAATATAAATGATGCTTCGGTGGCGAATATTTCTTTATTTGAGTGGATTCTTTTCTGCTTTGTTGAGGATTTTTCTTTTCATATGCACTGATTTAATGAAATCAATATAAGAACAATGTCAGTCTCAACCTCACCCTCAAAGCGTTAATAAGTTTTTGCGTGCATTTTTTTTCGTTACTTTTAAAGTTTTTTAAAATGTTATTTTTACTTGAAAATTTCATATTTTCAGATGTTTTCGAGATAAATCTGCTTAAGAAACTATTATCCATTCCAGAAGTCCAGGAACTCGGTTGTTTTTTGAATAACTTTTAATAAGAACAAGATACAGACCTGCGCTTTTCACGGTTTTATAGCCAAGACTCAGGAGCATATTTTCATAAGCAAAAATTTTTCTGAGAAAAAGAAAAAAAATCCGAAAAGGCATAAGTCTACTTTATGTAAACACCTTTGTTTTTGGGACTGTTGAGGGTGAAGGTTGTTTATATAAAACAGACTTATTCCAAGTTAAATATGCCAATCAATAGAGTGAAGTTCACTCTACAAAACTGCATATTTAGTTCTGGAACAAGTCTAGTTTATATAAACAACCTTTACTTCCAAAAGTCGCAAAAACAAAGGTGTTTACATAAAGTGGACTTATGCCGATTTTTCACACATTCTGAATTAGCATCAAAAACTGCATCGACTCATATATATTTCAAATCTTTTAACGAACTTTTTTCTCGTCGAAATATTCATCCCTGGTACTATTAGGACAATCTATGGCAGACCTTCTTCTCATGCCTGAGTTAGTACAGTCGCACAGCTGTTTTCTAGTCAGACAAAACAGTTCAATTCCACATTCACTTTCTACTTCATCCCCAGTGGTCTTTGCGTCAGTAATCAAGTTACAAGTGTAGACTTTTGGCATGCAACTAGTTCCTGATATGTGAAACTCTAAACAGATGGTTAGTAACGATGAAACCTTGCCGATAGTTCTCTGAATGCTAATGAAGCATTTTCTAGGTCAACAAGCAAATGAAGAGAGTATCAGTGTAGATATATCGCACCTTCGAGAGGAAGATTATGCAATTACAACTTATCTATCTCTCTGGTACCTTCAAAAAATGTGGATCTGATGATCAGGCGTGTTCCTAGTTATGTGTGTGAGGGCCACCTTGTGGCCGGCAAGTCTCTCAAACGAAAAAAACCGCAAAACCTGATTGTAGATACTACTTACAGGATTGATCAAGCTCTGTACAATACACTGTACATCAACTGAAACTATCCTACAATTATAAAACTATCAGCAACCTTCTATAAAAGTTGTTCACCACCAGTACAGATTGGCACATGCGTGATATAAATAAGATCTTTATGAATAATTCGAAGCATCGTAAGTTGGGATATGACACTATATGATTGAATATCCAATTTGTATTGGATTCCTCTATTATGAAACATTCTTCCACTATAAGGAACAGAAAAAGAAATCTGTTTAGATTACCTGTAATTTTCGGAAGAACGTTGAGAGTTATATCTTGACTATTAGCTACTGGAGAAAAGACTTCAACAACATGGTCTGATATAGTCAAGTCTGCTCTACAAAATCCACAAGATTGTCAGATGTGGGTATTCGACTTAAAGGATTTCTCCCTATCCGACATTTCAGGTCTATTTTTCAGTGTGTGCAGAGGATCTCTGCACTAGGCCATCGGTTATTAGAAAATGGCATATGGCTAGATGTACCAGGTGAGCAGGAACAAGAATATATAATTGGAATTAATTTTAGTCCTTATAATGTTAAAAATATGTAGATCACAAAATGACGTGCTTTTTGAGAATGTTATAACGAACCTAAATTTGCGATGCTTGTATCTATCCAATGGAAGGTGAAAAGATCATAATTTTTTACTGTATACATAACTCATAGAGGCCTACAGATGAGGTATAAATGAGACGGTTCGGAAAAACTTGTATATAAAGTGTTTGATACACCATATGGAACTAGCCAATCTTATTGGGCGGGTGCAGGCCCTGCACGGATGGAGAAGTGTACACCCCTTCCCCAGTAACCAGAAATTTTCAGTTTTTCCCAGCAACAAAAGCAAATCTTGTCCATATTTTACGGTTTTTCTACAAGATTTTCTTGAATACATTCTTTTAAATCTTCAATGCGCCACACACTCCAATCGTGGAACCGTCGGGTGGAGCCTGGACGGGCGACAGAACTGTAAAACATGTCTACCTGTTTTTCTCGAAAACGACTAGACATAATAAACAGAATAATATCCCTCAATCAAGTGGTCAGAGCATGTTCTGTTGACTACAAAAAATTTCGGGCTAGTCATGTACAGGTCCAAAACGAAAAAAAGTTCAGACTGGACGAACCGTCACGACTAAAAAAACAACTATTCTTCTTACTCGTTCTTTACACACCTGAGTGCTGTGATTGATTGTTTAATTGCTTGTTTTGCACTACGGATTTATTTTTTACAATGAAAATCACAGCCACAACCAAGCTGAAAATGATGAAAAGTCCAATACCGCTATATAAAAATTTTGATTTGATATGGTTTCGTCTTTGTTTGACACTTGTTAATGGTTCATCTAAAGAATCCAAATACATCTTATATGTCTCTTCAAACTTGTTGCTTTTACCTCTATGAAAAGAGAAATAGCATTAGAAAAATAATACACACAGTACTTGCTAATAGTAAGTATTATTCCTATTTAAACTCTAAATATCAGTATAAAGCCTTGAAAATTTGGATATGTATAGAAATGATAAAATACTGAATGCAAAATAAAGTTTGCTCTCAACTAACTGAAATGGGTTGAGTTATAAACTAAATGCAAGTTCTACTTTTTCAAAAAGTAATGCGGTCGAGAAATATTTTAAAAAATTAGTCTATCATATAGTGACTTCAGATAGAAGATTTATGATGTTTGCTCATATTGCTTGAACTTTTTAGATTGATCAATCATACAAAAGTATTTCATAATGTTTGCTGTCTACGTTTTTTCTTTAGTTTCAGTAGTTAAGATCGAAAATATCTTTCACAATATTCTTTATAGTAAAAATCTGAAACATAATGATATTACTCACTGTTCTTGTTTTCATGATTTATTTGTTCATTATCTTCACATTCTTCTAAATCAATTTCAACTAACATTGGCGAACACGTATTTGGACGATTTTCAATTTTATTTTTAATTTTAAATACTGAAAATGGTAATATTAACACTTCTTCTTCATCTTGTATCGTTGATATGTCTTCAATATCAATAGCTGTTTGATTTAATTTAATTGTATATTTTAATAAAACAGATACTTCAGTTAAAGTTTGTTGATTATTATCAGCAAATACTTGAGCAATTTTACGATTTTTCGATGTTGATACAAATGATCGATTTAATATATGATTTCCAATAATATAATCTTTTAAATCATTTTCGTTCATTAATAAACCACGATATGCAATACCTTTATATTGATATTTATGTAGATTTGGGTGATTTATTAATAATGTAACAATATGTACTAAACAATTAATTAAACGGTATCGTGTTGGTGAAGAAGAATAGGAAGATATATCAAAATAATCTAATATATATAATGCTAGATGTTTATTAAGAATATGACGAAAATTATTAGTTAATGTATAAGCTTTAATAAAATATATTAAATAATTTTGTTCTTCAATAGCTTGCCTAAATAAAAGTTCTATTTTTTTTGTTTCATCTATTGGAAAGTGTTC